TTTTCTAACCATTTTCCTGGAATTGACCCTTCAGTATTTCGTTCGCGAAGACAGATACTCGGGGTGCTTGAGCCAAGTCCACACTACCTCGTCCAAACATGACGCTGACTCGGCGAGGAGGGGCGCGTTACGGCCAAGTACTACAAGTCCCCAATGGTGAACATGGTGCCGCGCCTCCCAGACCCCAGACCCCGTTGCACCAGAGTGCACCGCTGCGCCGCCGCCATGGGCACGGCCGGGCACGGCTGCAGCAATTGCAAGCATTGATGGGTCCGGCGGCACATGCAGTTCCGGCCCACGCAATCACTTCCATATCCGGTCCTGAGCGAGAGAGGGAGAGAGAGAGAGAGAGGGGGGGGGGTCCTAGGGGAGCGTAGGGAGCAGGTGGCGGCCGCCACTAAGTGGTGCGGCCACGCCCGCCCACTCACCTGCAGGGCCATGTACACCGCCGTCAACAACTACTTTCCAAGCGCCACAACAACATCGCCCGCAGCCCGAACCCCGCGACGGGTAAACTCATCCGACTACCGTAGTATACTGTATATTTGCGGCCCGCGCGCGGGCGGGTCCGCCGCTCTATCCCCCGCAGTCGCCGAGAGGCCACGACATATACACAACAACAGAACGTGATCCTCTGGCGCTGCTATACCTTCCCCTGCTGCTTGCTCCACCCCTAGGACGACACAGAGAGCGTCGCCCAGCCTCCGCCCGGCTCTCGGCAAACACAATGGCAAACACGGGGGCCCCCTTATCTGCGTGCTACAGACAGACAGACTGTCTTCAATATCAGGAAAACACTTCCGGAGCGGGGAGTCCTCGGCCTCGTCGATATTTCTTATTTCTCATACCGAGTGTATCTGTGTGTGTGTGTGTGTGTGTGTGTGTGTGTGTGTGTGCGTTACACGCCCGCTCCTGTAAATCCCCTCCCCGTCTCTCTCCTCTCTCGCCGCAGGGCCGGGCGGGCAACAAACGTCGACAATTATAGAGACATGTATTGTATTAAAATGTGCAAACAAAACAACACGGGCGCGCCACACATATACATCGATTCGGCGGAAACAAAAGCAACCGCTTCGGGAGGGAGGCTTTACGAAAGCAAAGGGAGAGAGAGAGGGAGAGGGAGAGGGAGAGAGAGAGAGATATATATATTCGCGCGCAATGTCGACGCGGAGCAGGCAGGCAACCCTGCTTTCTGAGTGTGGAGCGACAAAAGCAGGTGTGAGGGGCGGGCGAGCGGGGAGCAAAATTGTCGGTGAGGAGGAAAGTGGAGGGGGAGGGGGTAGGGAGGGCGTCATAAAGGGTGGCATAACTCGTGTGCAGGTCGGGGAAGCGTTGGCGCTTATTCGATATGGACATTATTATTATCAGCGGGGAGGGAGAAAAAGGATGGCAACGGCGAGGAAGGGGGAGAGAGAGAGAAGAGAGAGGAAGGGGAGAAGGGAGGAGGGATCCGATAGTCCGAATAACAGAATTGAGCTGCTCCATTTGGTTCTGGCGCTAGGCGGGGGGGCCAAAGGCACGGTACAGTTCACATCACGTCAGGGGATTGTGGTCCGACGCGAGGGCGTGGCGGGGCGTGGCAGGGCATGGTGGGGCGTGGCGCGCCTCCAGCGATGGCTGTCGGCGGTGACCTCTGGTGGCCCACGCCTGGCGTTAGCGCACGAGGGCGGAGAGGAATAAAGCGGGGCCTGGAAGGGGGTTCGTTGCGCTTGCTCGCGTTTACATGCGGCGGCTGTCTTCCCCACTTACATGGGCCGCCTGATGGGACGCGCGCAGAAAAATTAAATTGGCCACCCGCTCCTCCGCACCGCGCCCCCATCATCATCGTCGTCCTCCTCCTCCTGCAGGTCTAAGAAAGAGAGCGGGGTAGTGGTGGTGGTGGTGCGGGAGAAGGAGCCCCCCCAGCGGGGGGCACCAGAGCGTGGTGGGGCTCAGTGGGGCGTGGGGCAGCGTCCTGGTCCAGGTCGAGGGAGGTGGGGGGCGCGGGCGGGGGCACACCGCCGCGGGCGCCCGGCTTGGACCGGTATATCACTCCATCATATCGATTGGAGGCAGACTGCTCTGGCGTGAAAGCCCTATGGCCCTCCTCCTTCCTATCAACAAGCAGGCAAATTCCCTCGACGGCCGGCCCCGCCCCGCCCCGCCGGGCTCAGCTGGGGTCGCACTGATTGCACACAGGTACAGGCAGGCCCGGCGCCGAGCCCAGGTGACTTACGCCCCATTGCCAGCGTGATGGAACGGATCGCGAAATAGAATAAAAAAACGCGGCGAAGCAAATCACACAAAAAAATATGCTTATTTATTGGATCACATTATTTTTATTTTACCCCCTTCCCGTGCCTGTGAAATTTAAGCTGAGGCATGGTAAAGGCTTTTGGCACAATGAGGTCGCGGTGAGCTCTCACTACTCCCGTCCAGGGACACTCCAGGCAGGCTTACACAACATTTTTCATGACACCAATCAAAAACAAAACTGTAGGTTAGCTCACTTGGGAAACCTTTAGAAAACCATATCTTTCTAACAACAACATTTTGACATTGCCGAAACCAATAAAATTTTAGCTGTTTCAAAAAAAAAATTTCGTTTGCTCAAGAAATTGTTTTCAATTTGACAAACACCTTTTCTAATTTGCCAAAAATTTCGTTGGGTAGAATAAAAAATTTCGTCATTCTACCGAAAAATGTATCTTTAAATTCTGCTATGAAATTTTCGGTAAGGCGAATAAAATTTCTTTACGCCAAAGGACTGCTTTTCTGGGTGAACAAAAAATATTCAAAAACGATTTTGTTTTCAATTTTCTGGAAATGCAACCTACTTTAATAATTTCAGCAGCACCCCTCCTGCGCCCTCTACCACACACACACGGCAGGGCACTCCTTGAGAGGCGATCGTCCGGAACAACAAACACGTTGCGAAAAGATAAAAGTTCTCACGCGACACAGGCCGCCCCCAACCCCACTTCGCGACGCCAAACAACTCGCTTTGCAGCAGAAGCAGCCCGGCTTGGGCGGGGAAGGGGCTCCCCTCTCCCTCTCGTCACGCGGCCGCCCCCGGCTCCTCTTCCCAATCCACCACGTTAGACTGACCGGCAGAGATAGTTTATCCCGCAAAATCCAAATAAACGCGTTTTGTGCAGGGAACGCAAAATGATAAGTGGCCTATAGCGTGCTATGCGCATATGACAAGGGGGACAGGGAGGGGAAGGAGAGGGGGAGGGCATTGTCTAGTGCTGGAACTTCATTAGAGCAGGCTGAAATAGACGGAATAGGGGAATCGCTCGCTATGGGAGGATGGAGAGAGAGAGAGAGAGAGAGAGAGAGAGAGAGAGAGAGAGAGAGAGAGAGAAGAGACGGAGAGACCATATAATGGAGCATGCGGCAGCTCGAATCTAAAGCGCTCTCGATACATATGGCCATGCAGCACATAATGCATTAAAACACGGCACCAGCGTGCGGAGTGAGCGGAGTCCCACATCACGCGGGCCACTGCATCGTCTCGCCGATGATCATCATCGCCAGCGAGCCTGTACGTCCCAGTGGGCAGCACCACACAGGCACGGGGGCAGGTCAGGTCGCGGCCCACCACGGCTCGCCTCGCCGCGCGTACCGCGCACATTTTATTGCCAAGAATTTGATCCAAATGCGCGCGCCGCTGCCGCTGCTGTCGATGATCGCTCAGAGGGATGTAAAAATAGCGTTGACGTTGTTAGCATCCCGCCCTTTGCACAGGGCCGCCGTCCCGCCCCGCCCCGCCCGGCCCCGCCCCACCAGCGCTCAGGGGAACACAAAAGCGTTCAAAATAAACGCGCGAGAATTATCATCATCATTCCCCTTTTCCTTTTCCTCCTCGCGAGCGGCGGTGGCCGCAGCGCAGCGTTGTTGGAAACCTATTTCGGGATCTAGAGCAGGAGAGTGCTTGTTTAGTTATGGAGCCGCGAGAGAGAGAACAACAGGCAAAGAGGTCACCTCACACTAAAACAGTTTTACAAGGGAGGAGGGGACTTGGGACCTGATGACACCCAGCGCGTCAGTCGACAGCTCAATCAGGATCGTGGCAGCTGCACGCGGCAGTCGATCTGCTGCGCCCTAAATAAGCCAGGTACTTTGCAATCAAGCATTTCCTTGCAATGAGAACCGATGAGAACTCAGGTTATTCGAGTGCATGCACTTGTTTCAAGAAAATGCACTTGATTTTCAAGTACCTGCTTTTCTGGGTGAGCAACGAGTACTATTCGTGCGTACTCTCGCCCGAACGACTGCCTATGCAGAGTACTCGGCGGGTACCCGTGCACCTGCCGCCACTGCCGCCGAGGAGGGTTCGACGCCCTCCCCGCCATGAAATACAACCCCCGCCACCACACCGACAACGCCGGCCCTCTCTATAGCTTAAAAGTACTTTTTATTTTCTGCCCGCATTTTCCTTTTCGCGGGCTCGCTCGCGATAAAATCTCATTGCTCCTCGCCGGCCGGGCAGACAGCTGCTGGATCGGCATTAATGACTTCCCAAAGGCCATTCACGGCGGATAAATCGCCAGAGTAAATAAGGGCTCCGCAGGCTCCGCTCTCCTCGGCCTGTCCGCGGCGGCGCGCGAGCCGGTCTCATTTCATTAAAAGAACTAATGGAGGCGGAGGGTATGCGGTCCCTCGAAAACAAAAGGAGCGCAGAATGATTAAATTCCGTTCGCTCGCGGAGGGCGCGTGAGTTGAGTAGGGCAGTGTGTTGTAGGGAAGTAAGAAATGCAAATTTTTCGATTCAATGTATGAAGTTTTTTGGGGGCGTTTTCGACCGAAAGTTCAAGGAAACGTCAATTTTGAAAAGCACTTACGCTATGACATTTTAGAAAACTTCATGGTAGCGCAAACTTTTCCGTTTTCATTTAATTTCGTGAGGGAACACACGGAGTACCCGACGAGCTCATGGTCCACACGGTATACACCACCTAAAACTCTCCGCTACACAGCCACTTCCTTTGCAATCGCGCAGGACACTTCTTACTTACCGTGGCGAGTCGGTGAGGCGCTAGCGTTCCGACCTCATGCTGGTGGTGTCCAGCCCCGGCTCCTGGCGCTCCCCCCTGCAACAGACACATGACATGACACGGGTGCACGTCAACGACCTGGTAGAGGTATGGTGCTAGTTGTTGTTTCAGCAGCGCTGGGGGTTGCAGCCAGATGGGTGGCCCCCTCGCTCCTCGGCCGACTCCCCTCCCTCTCCGCCTCCGAGAAGCCCGCGGATCACACCGAGTCATGCACAATAGCGCCCGTCTCGCCGCCCCACCTCCACGTCGTTACTGCAGGATTCAGGCGCGAGAATGTCACATTATCCCCGGTAATCACGCCAGGCTATACTTCAGCCCGACCTGCTGACCCCGCAGGAGTTCCTCACCTCCGCCTCCTAGTCTACTTGTCTGCTTCTGTGTCCAGTTCCACCTTGTGCTGCTTAATGTCTCTCTGTCTTCTCTGTCTGCCCTCTCTCTCCCCCCTTATCCCACTGTCTCGTGGTTTTCACTGTATTCATGGCACAAAGGGCCCGAGCGGTACAGCTCTTTTTCATCTTTTTCTCTCCCTTTTGCGCCGACATACAAGTAGCGGCGCGGTGCTTACTGCAGAGAGAGAGAGAGAGAGAGAGAGAGAGAGAGAGAGAGAGAGAGAGAGAGAGGATTGGGGGAGAGAGGAGGGGGGTACTCATCGGTCATGCGGCATGCAGCAGGCGCAGATCCTAGAGAGTAACGCTCTCCAACAAAACGCCGCCTGTACCCCGATATAGATCCTCATCGAAACCCAATGATCGGATCGTATTACTCGCAGAGTGACAGCAGCAAAGTGGCATAATTCTAGCGTGGCAAATAAACATTCATAAACTAGGCC